CCTATCAGCTATTCCATACTTGAAAATAGAATACTATTGCCCGGTTGATCTCGACAACCCAGTAAATATAATCGCCGCCAAGTAATATGCCTTGAGGGCGTTACACAAACCTAAGCCAGATAGAACAGTACAAACAAAGTCTGCAAACCCCGTTTGGGAAAGTATCGGACTTGCTATAGCCTTCAAAGCCTGATGACCGATTGACTCATATACGCAATCAAACCAATTGGACTATTAAATCTGCAAGGGTTTTGCCGGGTCTATTGCCCCAGGCATGATTCCGGGCCTAGTGATAGGCGCATGCCCGCAAGCAATATAGTATCCTCCTACTCCGATGTATTATCCAGAGCACGTTACCAGAAATGGAAATTCTCTGTAAACAGGCATTTTAGATAACTGAATCTAGACTGTCTGAAACTAGTTTCATGTACGCCATTTGACTAGTAACATAAGTACCTTCCTGGTATCTGGCGAGGCCGTCGTCATCGCTTCCTCATAACCCTGGTCTAATCGCCAAAGATGGACCGAAGAAACGGACCAGTGCATCCAATGGCTGAAAGGATGCCGTATGTCTCGACCTGTCGGTGCATGGAAACAATGCTATGCATTCCGCTCGTTTGCAGTAAGACACACGGTTGCTTCCTAGGCTCAAGGTCATGGGGCCAGGCATTGGATCCTCTCGTGCCGGGTTTGCCATGAATCGCTGATCAAACTTACTAAGTTGGTTGCTGTACTTTAGCAGATTGCATCTGTGTTTCACATAAGATAAACTGCATTGAAGAGTCTGTACACGCACACTATTGAATAAAGCACACTATTGAATAATAGTTGTGATTAGGCATATTATCGTACATTTCACTGAAAGTAACAAATTCTAGGCACATTGTCTGGTAATATCCCACCCTTTATAGACGGCTTTTCGATTTCAAAAGGGTCAAGGAATGTTGGTCATCCGGTAATTGAGAAGCCTCCATTAGGTCCGATCATCATTGTCTCAGATTGTGGTGGATGCACTCTAGACAAAGTGATACTTGAGCAACGCGGCTGCAGTTGTTGTGTCTCGTGTGAAATACAGTGGTATCTCTTGAATTCCTCGAACTCGGTGACGCTCACCGTGTCACTTGAATAGCTGAGTTTGCAAATCAGGTATGGTTTTCCGTGTTCGACTGTATCGAACGCAAGTCGATGAACGTCCTGTATCACAGATGATCCGTCGATACTTCTGTTTTGCTTGTATTTAGGTGGTGTACTCCCGAGAAGACAATAACTCTACGCTTAAGCGTAATCTTATTTGAGTGAATGGAATTTGGAGCAAAGCCGACTTTCGTCGCTTGTGCGAGGTAAAAAGTACCTGCTTGGATTCATTGAGGTCGACATTGAGCTAGATAAAAATATCTCTAACTCCGCGAACTTGCGTAGTCGAAAAAGCGGTGTTTGGCGTTCCAATGTCGCTGATGCCCTTAAGCGAGGGCTACTGACAGGTAGATTTGTCAGGCTGATTCGGATTTGTAGTCGGAGAGGCCTGTACAACACTCTGGCTGACATGGTTTTGGTGCCAGGTGAGGGTGGTCTTGAAGGGAGTAATCATGATGAAGTTAGGAGAAGCAACGATGTGAACGTAATGAAGTGTAGGAAAGTAATGCAGGTTGCATTCCCATAGCCCCAATCACTTCAGACGCAAAGTCCTGGAGTTCAATAATATTCAGGTCAAGTACAGTACCTGATGCTTGACCCAGTAACAGCGCTGACCTGAATAACTCCCCTTTTATGAATTATATTAACTCATTCTGAGGCAAAGGTGCCGGCGCTGGGAAGATAGCCTAATGAATGTCAGCTTCAGGTTAAGACTCGCGTCGTAGACGTAAGTAGATGATTACCGTAGTGGTCGAAAAAAGGTTGCCAGTAGTATCTCGACGCCAAATTTCTGCAATGCCTTTGATTCTGCTGTATGATAATGCGGACCATTTAAGCAGTATTACTAGGACAGACGCATTGCCTTTCAGCCATAGATTTTTATCACTCCGTAAATGTGGGAATGATTGATTCCAGCCGACGTCAGGAAGTTGAGATGATCCTTGATAAGCAGGGTCACTCTGCCTTTTTAAGGCATCGATAATAGACAGTTGGTTGGAGCCAACTCCCTCTTTTCCACCTCAATTGGTGCGAGACCGACCCCCGGCGACATTCTTTCCTTTGCTTATGGTCTTTTGAACCATCTTTAAACGAAAGAGAGAGGGGACAAAAAAAAGAAGAAGAGGAAAGAAAAAAGATGGAAAAAAGATGAATTAGATGGACTTACTGGTACCTATATATGTCGTATTATTGTATGGTATCGACGAGTTTCTTAAAAAGTCCACGCCTGGGTCTCGCATCTTAAAGACAGTAGAGATCTACCAGGGTATAAATGTCGGAAAAGACGTATGGGACCGACGAATGTCAAAGGGAGCTTTAGAGTCCAGAAATCTGACATCCGAAGCATAAACAGAGATGTTCTTCATGAGGTTGACGAAAGAGGAAGGACCCAACCAACATAAGCTGGTAAGGTCGTATTGCCAGGAAGCGACAATGAACAGGACGACACGCTGTCATTTCAACATCTGTATGTTTAGAATTTCTCCTGGGGACCGCCGAGAGCAGGCACAAGTTCACACCTGGAAGCAACAGCCGCATGACTGCGAGCTTTTCATTAGCCAGACAGATGTTTTTAGTGGGCTTCTCTTCCTTACTCTGACACATCCGGTATGGTCACCAGCTTGATCACTCTCAGGGATGATGAGCATGTGTCTAGGCTGCATTGGAACAGATCTCCCAAGAGTGCGCCTGTATGGTTCTCGACCGAAGAACAAACCCGAGATATCCCTCTTCGAAGAGTCAAGAAGATGCATGGAGAGAATGCAAGGAGCCAAGGAGGGAAAAGAGGCAGAGATGGAGCACTATACGTACCTCAGCAATTCTTAGAGTAGGCTGACGGTGAATGAGATAGGCATGAGTGACGTAGCTATCATAGACAATGCCATATTTCATTCACAGACTGCCTATGTTCATGGAGGGTCTGCCTTGACCAAAAGAGTGTTCATTCACGTATCATATTCAGCTTGGCTATACTAGCTAACGCAATAAAATGTTGCCATCAAACGATTAAACGACCAGGGACTATCCTCACAATGTGCAGTTCGTGATCAGATCACAGTAATCGTCAGCATGCTGAGGCATACTTCATCATATTTTTGCAAACGTCTTGAGATTATCCCAGCTGCCGTTCCAAATATCCGAGTCCCCACCATAGGTATAGCTGTCCGAGTTCTGCCAGAACGACTGGTACGGCCATCCGCCCGGAATGGTGCCCACAGAGCTGGAGTACCTAGCCAGCACCAGGGGACACTCAGTAAAAGATTTGCTGTTGCCCGTGCAGGTGTTCCACCAGTCATTGGTGGTATAGATCATCGGATAACGACCGGTGCTGCTCTTGTAGGTGTTGACAAAATCGGAAATCCAAGAGACCATCTGAGAGGCGCTAAGTCCGTAACATTCGGTGCCATAGGGGTTGTACTCGATGTCCAGCATACCGGGAAGGGTGATGCCGTCGTTTGACCAGCCTCCACCGTGAGCAAGGAAGTACTTGGCCTGATCGGCGCCGCTGCTGTGATTAGGGACGGCAAAGTGGTAGCCACCGCGAATGAAACCAGCTTTGGTGGCACCGGTGTAGTGGCTGGAGAAAGAAGGATCGGTGTAGGTGGTGCTTTCGGTGGCCTAGAACGGTCAGGACCCCGTATCCGTATAGAAGTGAGCATATAAGAAACGCACCTTGATCATGACGAAGCGAGCACCAGAGTTATATGCCGCCGCAAAGTTGACGTTGGCTTGGTAGTGGGAGATATCGAAGCCTTGAACGGCGGCCTGGGCCACAGAGGCCGAAGCCAGGAGGACGGCCGCAATCTGCTTCAGATCGAGCATCATATTGATTGATTATGTCTGAGAAAGCGATCAGAACAGACTTGGTCTGCCGGACAAAGACTCCTATTTATCTTCTCGGCGATATGCCGAATATTCTGCTCGTCGTCTTCCACGCCCGTATTGTCGCATGCAAGGGCGAATACGATGTCGATCACCCCAAAATAGACCCCAGGAATACTACCTTGATAATCTCCTGCATCGATAGCGGCATTGTTCGCGATTTGTTGGATCTCACCCCGAAAGTAAGAAGATCGTCGGATGAATACGAGGGACAACTCCGCATCGGTTGATGGAGCCCGTCGGCCCCCAACTAGTCAGGGGAGACGAGGTCTCATCGTGCAGAGTTGAAAGAACCTGATTTGCAACTTCTCGCTTAAAGGTACTCCTCTAGGGAGGAGTCGAACCTCGAGGGCCGGACAAAGTGACGAGCGATAGAGCGGGCCGATCGAACGGCAGATGGACGGCAGATTAGCCTGAATAATTGATGGATTGACTAGTTCAGATCAGAGACAGACCCTTGTAACTGCTCAGGACAAGAAATGGGCGCCGTCTTGGCTGTGGATTTGCTTCGTTCCTGAATCGGATCATTGATGGAGAAGATGGTGGAGAATATATTGATAATCTGAATGTAGAGGAATCGCATTCATGAGGGACAAATTCAACCAAATCAGTTCTCTACACCTGGGCAATGAAATCTATTCTCATTAGGGAAAAAAATACACCCAATGAATGCAAGTAGTCGTTAGGTCGGTGTAACACCTATGTTTCTCTAAGTGGCAGTATTTGCTTCTTCCAGCATTCCTAGTCTCGGTTCCAACTCTATCGCCGATTACTCCGTATCCACTGCAACATTTCCATTTCCTCTTCCAGCCAACAACATCTCTCCTTCAAACCACATTTTTCATTCTAAATACGTCAATACATGAATATTTCTCACCATCGCTTATGATTGACCACTAAACTTTCACCATCTTCCTTGGCGTCTGATCGCTATGGCTTCTCGTCCGAGCGTGATCTCCGCCTTTCGACACTGACCGCAATCCACAATGGCCAACGGCTCGATCGCCAGGGACAAGGAGTTTCGCGATCAGTTGGGCAAATTCCGTCTCGAGTCCGTCGTTACTCCGCTTCCTCCTCTCCGTTCGTCTTCTTCTTCGTCCCAGTCACAGTCACAGTTGCAGCCTCGATCCGTGCCTCCTCTTTTTCCGTCGCCCAACTCCGCCGCCAGTGTCGCTTCCCCGCTGCAGCCTTCTCACGGCACCCGCCCCAAACGCGTCTCCACCGCGTGTGATTTTTGTCGCAAACGCAAGAAAAAATGCGATTTCCGATATCCCAATTGTTCTGCGTGTACTCGCGCCGGTGTCCGATGTACTGTTCCACCACCTGGCCCGCAGATCGCCAGCGCCTCCGTCCCTCGCGACCAGCTTGAGAATCTTCAGAAACGAGTAGAATGGTTAGAAGATGTCCTCCGACGGAAGACAGGGCTATCGGTGGCCGAGCTACCAACGGGGAGCAATGTGGATGGGGAAGGCGATCCGGATTGGTGGTACCAGGTGCCCGCCATAATGGCCAAATATAGCACTCGACACTCCATCGGTGCGGGCAGTGCTACGACGTCAAGTCCTGCCGGTAGCGGGCGAGGGTCCTCGACCGGTCCGCCAGCATCGGAAACGTCGGGGTTTGGAACGGAGTTGCCCAATGTAGGGGAGATTTTTCGCGACCAGCTTGAGCACCGTCGGCCGTCGGTCGCACGCCCGACAGTGTCGGCCCCGCGCGTCGTCCGTTTACCGTCCTTGGAAGAGGCGGAGCGAATAGCAAGCAATTACTTTGACAGCATGGGTTACCAGTATCCTTTCTTGTCGCGACCGGACTTTATGGCGCTTCTACGACACATCTACGCGGGCGGAGTACCGACTCCGGAAGATCACTACTCCTACCATATCACGATAGCAATTGCGCTGTTGATCGGATCGGCGGACGACGCGCAGATCAGCGAGTTCTATCGCGCTAGTCAGCAGACACTCTCGCTGGCCTTGCAGAACGAGGACCTGGCCGCAGTGCGGGCATTGCTGAGCCTGGCGCTATATACAATGTTTGCGACCACCGGCCCCAGCGTGTGGCATGTTCTGGGGACGGCCATGCGACTGGCAACTAGTCTTGGTCTTCACAAGATGCGGTCCTCTGCTAGTCTGATGGAGGAGGAAATGGCCAAGCGGGCGTTCTGGAGTCTGTATAATCTCGACCGGTTGATTGCATCAACACTGGGGCGACCGTTGGGGATCGCTGATGAGGATATCAGCGTGGGTTTGCCCCGGGAGTTTAACGATGACTGGACAGAAGTGCCAGGAGGCAGTACCATGACCATTCCGGTTCAGGTGGTTAAGCTGCGCCGCCTGTTCTCCCGGATCTATCGTTACTGTGAGTTCTTTCATGGCGGTTTATTGTTCTGGCTAACAAAGTAGTATACAACAATCAACCGCCTCCTGATCCTCAAGAAGTTTCGATGATGCTGGTACAATTCCGGCAAGAGCTTGATGACTGGCGGACGGCCGCGCCTGTGTATCCGCCTGCACTATTGTACTCGACCAGCTACTACGATTATCTCTACTACACTACTCTACTTTTGATGTACCGGCCCAGTCCGAGGAATCCCACCCCTGACGCCATTAGCATTGTTAGCTGTGGCGACTCCAGCATTCAGGTCATTCGATCGTACTGGGACAGCTATTCGGTGGGCAAGATCAAGTGGATCTGGCTCACGCTGAGCCAGACATATTTCGCTGGAATCACCATTCTCTGGTGTTTAGAACAAAATTCACGAGCCTTTCGCGATGGACGACCGCCCTTGTGGCAGCCGGATGAGCAGATGATGCGCCGGGCCATCCAAGCGGTGATTGTGCTGCTGGAGGAGTTTGGTAAACGACGGCCGGGAGTGGAAAGACTCGCGGAGACTTTTCGGTGTCAAAGCTCGATGATTTTCAGCCAAATGCCATATCAGCAGCAACACAGGCAGCAACACCCGCAGCAGGAAACACCCTATCCCCAACCACAGCCACCTCCTCCCCCTACCCCACCGTCTTCGCTGCCAGCCATCCCACCGCCGCCGGTGCCACTGGCGCCGATGCTGGATGATGTGTTGCTGGTTGATGGGATACCCCGGCAGATTGACCCTCAATTGGCAGAGCAACTGTTTTACTCCTATGATTGGTTTCAGGAGGAGATGGCGACATATTATACCCTATAGTCTATAGTTTTGTTCTCGTATAGAATTCAATATCATTGCATCTGCATGCCTCTTGGCGCGCAAAATCCCTCACTGTCACCAATGAGACTGAGTCGAATACTTTTCCTAATGCTCGTCTATATCCGTCTCGCTGGGTTTAATAGGCAAACTGGATCAAGTGGAACGACCACTTCGTCACTGCCCGCTTCATTAGGAACCGAAGGCCGTTTGCTTCGAAAATAGCTAATACTGCACACATATATATCCATTTTAATGAATTATAATCATCGTCGACATCAACTAGATGTTTCTTCAAAAAGCAGTCTGGTATCATTGCAGCTGATCACTGCGTCACCTGCAGCTGCCCCGCACTGATAAGCATCCATCCTCAACATTCTTCGTTCATACGATCATCACCTTAGAACTTACATACTTTTAGCCATACAATGAACGGAACACCAACAGCAACAGGCCTCCCTATCGCCTTCCACGGCACAATCATCCACTCCCTCTCCCCCTCAAACCTCCAAATTCTCCCCAACACCTTCCTCCTAGTCGACATCACCGGCAACATCCAGGCTCTGGTCCCCAACACTGACCCCTCAACCATCAATACTCTAATCGCAGACAATGGCTACGCACCAGACGTCTTCCCTGTTAAACACCTACCCAAACACTCCTTCCTGATTCCAGGTTTCGTCGACACCCACAACCACGCCCCGCAGTGGGCACAGCGCGGGGTAGGCCGCAGCCTCTCCCTCCTCGACTGGCTCGAGAAAGTCACCTTCGCACACGAAGCAAAATTCGAGGACGTAGAGTACGCCAAGCGCACGTACAGCGCCGCCGTAGACGGGCTCCTCCGGCAGGGCATCACTACAGCAAGCTACTACGCCTCCAAGCATCTCGCCGCAACGAAGATCCTAGCCGAGGTATGTCGAACCAAGGGCCAGCGGGCGCTCGTCGGCCGGTGCAACATGAACCGGCACGCACCGGGGTGGTACCGCGATCTCAACGCGGGGGTATCCGTCAAGGAGACTAGGGAATTCATCCAGTGGATGCGCGAGTTCAACGCAAACGACGACCGGCCGCTCGTCAACGCGGTGATCACGCCTCGCTTCGCGATCTCCTGCGACGAGGAGGTCCTCTCTGGTCTTGGGGCGCTGGCGTTTGCGAACACGGACCTGCCCATCCAGACGCATTTCAACGAGGCGGAGCAGGAGATGGAGTTTACGAAGCAGCTGTTCCCGGACTTTCGGCATGAGGCGGAGCTGTATGCGCGGTTTGGGCTGCTGAATGAGCGGTCGATCCTGGCGCATTGCATCTTCCTACAGGAGGAGGAGATGGAGACGCTGGCGCGGCTGCGGTGTGGCGTGGCCCATTGTCCGGTTGCCAATACGACGATGCAGGCTTTTATGGTTGCGCCGGTGCGGGAGTATCTGCGGAGGGGGATCAAGGTCGGATTGGGGACTGATAGTGGCGGGGGTCATACGATTTCCATGCTCGAGGTGATGAAGCAGGCGTTTGTGGTGTCTACGGCGCGGGCGACGGAGACCCGTGGCGCGGATCCGGCATTGTCGGTGGCGGAGGGTTTCTTCCTGGCGACTTTGGGGGGTGCGCAGGTGTGTGGGCTGGACGAGAGGGTTGGTAACTTTGCTGTCGGCAAGGAGTTTGATGCGTTGGAGGTACGGACTGGGGAGGGGGTGGAGATGGATATCATGGCGCCGGTTGAAGATGGGGATTCCATAGATGTCATCTTTGAAAAGTTCTTGATGACGGGAGATGACCGCAATATTGCCAAGGTGTATGTCAGGGGCCGTGCTGTCAAGGTTTGATCTTAGGTCTGGTGTACTTCTATCAATTGGAAGTTCCCTGAACGAGGCTGGATGGTCATGAATTCATTATATGCGGAGAAATCTATCTATTCCCATGTCCCTTTCGCTGGCCCAAAATATCCCGAAGATGGTAAGGGTTTAAGAGGCGTCCCCAACCCATCCGCGGTTTTGCGATACACTACATTCCCCCACCACTGCAACGGGCCGGCAGGAAGCACGATGCAAAAGAAAATGATGACGGTGGCCACGGCGACGCCAGAGTCGAGGGCGGCAGACAGAACGTAATCTGAGCGAGTCAGTACAAGCTACCACAGAGACGAAAACGACTCACTGTACTTGGACCACCATGCAGGCTTCCTCCGCTTGATGATTCCATTGAAGATGACATTGACCACCCACCACGACGAGAAATTGATCCCTGTTGCAGGCGGAACAAGACTCATGGCTCCAAAGGCGACAGGCCATGAGATTTTGTTAAACCACTTCCACCGCCGTCCAAGGAGAAAGGTGATGACAATTACTACAGGCCCGGCGAGGAAGAACCAGAGGAGATGACCGTAGATTTGACCGGGAGAAAAGTTTCGTCCAGGACCCAGGGCGCCTTGTCTGTCAGTAAGAGTATCAAAAAGAGGGTGGGATGGATTTACCCCATATCAAAGAAGCCGAATATGTCACTCGACCGTGAGGACAGGTGAATCCACCATCAGCCTCTTGGGTGCAGATGTTGGCAAATCTTGTGATCATAAAGACGGTGACACCGCATTGAACGATGGCTCCGACGAGGGTGGCTAATCCTTGAGCCATGAACAGTGTACGTGGGGCGATGTGGAGATAATGAGCGAGCTTCATGTCGGCCACAAATCTAAAACAGTCAGCTTTGTCGGTTGGTGACGGGATAATACGCACTCTAGTCCCTGGGAGACGGCAACATATCCATAGAATTTGAACACCATGTTTGCCAGAGGTCGTCCTAGAAAAGCATACCCTCCAATGAATTCCGTAATGAGGTTCAACTGATTGCTGCTGATGTTCGTCGTAGCCTTGATGATCCCAACTGGAACGAAGTAGAGCATAGGAAGGACAAACGCTATCACAACAGCCCAAAACGGAAGCCCCGTGTGCCAGACTTCGTTGGCCACGATGCCGAGTGCGAATATTACAATCGTCACACCGGCAAACCACCACCAAGGAACGTCTGCGTAGGCAGTAATCAGTCTCGCATGGACGTCCTTCTTGTTCCTGCCTTTCCACTGCTCCCACAGATCCTTTCCATTATACAGCGCAACGTGGACAAAGATGCCCGTAAGATTGGCGAATGCGATTCCATAGGTCAATGCATAGCCTGCCGGAAGAAACATGGGTGAATAACGGCGATACGCCTCTGTGTTAACCGTTCCATCCTTATTCATGACATGCTTGGTGTGGTACGGCCGGCCCGTGTTGTCAAACGTATTGGAGTTCATCATAGGCATGTAGGCCGAGTACCACGTGTTGGTGTAATAGATGATGGGACAGATGATCCAGTAAAAGAAGGCAAACGACCCCATCACATTGAGTCCCGCCCAGAAAGGAACGAGGAGCGGGCTCTGATTCGCGAAAACAACCTGTGCCCAGTCAAAGGTCAAAAGCGACATCCCCAGCCCAGTCTCTTGACCAAACAGCTGATTGACGACGACGTTATGTGGGACAATCCAGCAGACGAAGCTGAACGTGCTCAACGCGGTGAACAAATAGCCTGGAACAAAATACCAAATAGTGCCGACACTGAACACTATTAGAAAGAAACGGAGGCGGGACAATATCCAGCCATCCGCGAGTAGGTTGCTGCGTGAATGCAATGTCTGTAGCACCGCAGCGTTTGATAACACCCCAGGCCAAATCATCGTAGCAGGGCCAACGAGCCAGCGCGAAGCCATCCCTGCCAGACCGAAGCCAAGTAACTGGGTCGTAATAACGAGTACCAGGTGCAACCCACCTCGTGAAGGCATCCCGTAGAACTTCACGGCAGCCTCAATTACCTGGGTAGCTGAAGCAGATGCAAAGGAGACATTGGCCATAATTGTGATCAAAGCATGCTCCTTGATATTGAAATGCCGGTTCGGATTCGCCCAGCCCAGTGGCACCCATCTTGCCCACGCGCAACCGACCGGATACGCCACGAGCTGCGCAACCAGAGCACTGATGCTGACGCTGGGCTGTCGCAGACTAAAAAACTGGTTCAACCCGCTTCCCAACTGCTGATGCATTAGCGACTTGATCTACAGTTCGCTGCACAAGATGAATGACATACAATAGTGAATATGATGCCGATGATCCACACGCGCACTGTGTTGACAGGCAGACTCACGTCGTCAACTGGCTGCACCACGGCGCGGACCTCAGGGAATGGAGAATCATCTGCTTCATACGGGAGGATTTTTTGAGCATCGTAGTCGTTGAGAACGCTGGCATGCTCATGGAGCGCTGTCGGAGATGGTTCCTAGTCAAAAGCTTCTGATTAATAACCAAACCTGCACCAATCGTATCACCAGTAGATATTTACGGCAGATGTTGGCCGGTGGATCGCAATGAAGATGTCACACTTGAATGAGGAAAAGAAAACACTGTGGAGACAATAATATAGACAGGGAAGTGTGCAATAGAACATGGATTGCAAGGAGAAACCCACCTGAACCGATCCCCTGCATTGAACCTTTTCATCTTCTGGCGAATCAACATGAGGACTCTGGATCCCAGCCATATCTTGGCTCTATTAAGCTGCAACGTAAAAATGGCACTAAAGTATGCTCGGAATCAGCCTAGACTATCTAGTCCCGAAAGTAGACTCTTCTGACTGATCGGAGTCGGGTCTGGCTTGGTGGAGTTCGATCAGCAAAAGTGCATCGGCTGCTGTAGGTGAAACCCCAGTTGCATGGTATCTGACGCCACAATAAGTACCTCGTATCCTAGACTTGAGAGATGATGCAGTCGGTGATGAATGAATATTAGAATGGGATACAATGCATGAGAGTTGACTATTTTCACTGTTCAATGCAACGAATGGGTTTTGTTGTTGTTAGGCTGTCGCCCTTCCAACAATCCCATACTAAGGCATAAGGTGAATACAGTTACTCCATATGGAACGCACAATCAATGAAGCAAGTGAAGTAAAAATTTAAGCTGAACAGTTAGTGTGCTGGTGGTTTGGAT